TATTTATCATTCATATGATTATATATAATATTATCTATTAATACAAATATACAATTTAGATTTTTATAATATTAATTATTTTTAAAAAAAAAGTTATTAACTATTTATAAAATAATTAATTTTTATTTTATTCAGATATCCTGTTTACGGATATATTAGAAAATAATATTATTATTATATCAATTATATAATATTACTGTTAAAAATAATAATTTTATAAATAATTAATTAATGACGACAATAATAAATATTTTTATTTAAAAAATCCAATTTTATATTAGTATTACTATATTATATAATATACAGTAATATTCATAAAAATACATAATAATAATAATAATAATAATAATATCATATGAATGAATGTTAAATAATTTATAGTTTTTTTACAATACAATTAATAAAGAAAACTATTAAACATTTATTAATTACAAAAAAGTTGTTTTCTATATAATAATACTAAAAAAACAATTTTCAAGTAATTAATTTTTTCTATTGACAAAAAATATATACGCTGTATTATTATTAAATTTTTTATATAAACAAGTACAATTTTTTGTATTTCCTTAAATATATTCATATACTCTATATTTATTAATAAAAACAACAACAACAAATTAAACAACTTTCATAAAACTTAAATTTATTTTATTAAAAACTAAAATTTATTTATATTAAAAAACTAAAATTTATTTATATTAAAAAACTAAAATTTATTTATATTAAAAAAACTAAAATTATAAAATCTTATTTATTTAATTTTTATTTTTCCAAAAAAATACTAATACCATAATAACGGGATCAATGAATAATAATTATAGAAAACAGTTAAACGTATTGATAATCGCGTGGCGCGTATTATGTCTAATTGGCTGCACGTATCAAACGTATCGTCTAAGCGAACTATATTTTAGTTACGCAACGACTACTAACGTACGATTGGTTTCGGGCACTATCACTACTAGCACCGGGAGGTCGGACAACAACAACAATCGGGTAGAGTTGCCAGCTGTCACCCTATGTTTCGATAAATTTGATTTGTTCGATAGAAAATTAGCAAGCAAATTTTACGGATACAGAACCGACTTGAATAATCAAACTGTAATGGAATTTAATCGATTAAATCTAACCGAAACCATTGATCAACAATTGGATCTATTGGTTAGGGTTGACAAAAATATACTGTGTATGGTTGGCACAGTTAGGTGCCAGTTTAAGGCACCCATGGTACGTTCATTAAATTATAAAAATTATTGCCTAACATTTTTCGGACAAAACAACAACAACAGCAACAATAACGACAATTTGAAGTCTGGTAATGGCAATGCCGGTGATGACGATTATCTAACTGTCGATAGAAATGATAATTTAAATCGATTTATGTTCGCTATTATTCTCAATAATTTTAACCATCCAAATGGTACGTTCAATACTAAATGGTACTCGCTAAGTTTTCATTCACGCCACGTTGGTTACCTAAATTTGACAGTTGAGGATGGACATTTGGTTAAATTGCATAACAATCACCAACATGATAATACTAGACAAGCTGGCCATCCTGAACCAATCGATTTGTTTACGTTCAAACGTACAATCATACGCTATACGTTTGAACCAATCGGGGGTAGTCGACCATGCTTACCCGATATTACCCAGGATGCTTGCCTGAATAAATGTCTATTGAACAAATATCTACAGGATGATCCACTGGGTTATCCATTATATCAATTGGCAACAAACCAATCGGGTTACGGTAGACGATTTAAACCATTAGACAATTACCGGCGTAATCATTATGGAAGTTGTCGACACCAATGCCAGCGATTTAGTGAATGTCGTAACGAATATTTTAGTACTGAGCTAGCCTATGGTGATAGCGTAGAAAATAACCAGGATAAAAAATATATTATCGTAACCATGCCATCCCAGCCGGATACTGTCTACGAAATTTCCCTGAAAATTTCCATCGAAGAATTTCTATGCCTACTGGCCAGCATAGCTGGCCTATGGTTTGGCCTACCATTGATAATGATAATAACCTATTCGATTAATTTGCTAGACAATCATCTAGGTGTAGTAGGTGGTCATCCTAGACATCAACAACAACAACAACAACTAAAAAATAATTATCTAAAAATGTCTATCCTATCGATTTGTTTTGTCAAAAATAATAATAATAGACAACAACATAAATCATATGCTAATAGATATTAAAAAATTATATGTTTTTTTTATATAAAAATGTACATGCTTAATTTGTACATGATTATTGTATTTTTTATTATTTTTTCTTTTAGTTTTAATAATTTTTTACTAATTATTATTTTTTTTTAATATTTAAGTTCAGCATTATATCAAAATTTGTTTTGTCAAAAATAATAATAATAGACAACAACATAAATCATATGCTAATAGCAGGGTTAAGTAAGGGGGGGGGGGGGGGGGGGGGGGTAAGGCCAAAATACCCCCCCCTAAGATCGAAAAATTGGGATTTTACCCCCCCCAGACTTTTTGACCAAATTGAAAAAATTGTCGCTTAAAAACGAGGAGAAATGACCCCCCCCTAAAATTTCGGCGCCGAAGGCGCCGAAAATTTTTTTGAAATTTATAAAAATTTTAATTTTAGTTGATACTATTTTAGTAAGTGTTTTTATGTTTTTAATATTTATAAAAATCTAATTATTGATTAAAAATAGTTAAAATAACGTTAAAAGTCATCAAAAAATAACATTATTTTAATTAAAATAAACTAAAAAATTAAAAATTACCTATTTGTTGAAAAGAGTAATCATATTACAATTTAAATATAAGTTTAAGAAGTTAATAAAACAATAAATACTTATGTTTTTATTAATAATTTTTAAATTTTAAATAAAAAATTTAAAAATATTTTCAATTTTGTACTTAATATAATTAAACTTTAACGAAATTTGAGTTAAATAAGTAGTATTCAGTCAGTATTTGTATAAAAATAAAAATATATAACAAACTATAAACATTAAGTATTGTTTAAAAAATTAATTATGTTAAAAGTTAAAAATTATTAAAATACTAAAAATAACTCATAGTGTATCATTAATGCTTTTATCAACTATTTTTAAATCTTAAATACATTATTTTATTTTTTTTTTGTTAAAATTTAAGTTTTTATTAATTTTAAAAAAATTTTTTAAAAAATATTTATTTTTTGTTAAAATTTAAATTTTTGTTAATTTTTAAGTTTTTTAAGTTTTTTTTTATATTTTTGGAAATTTTACCTATTTTCCCGGGAATTTATACGGGAACTTGTGGGAATTTTATTGAATTTACATGGGAATATTCGGGAACTTAAGGAATTTTTAGGGAATTTTCTCTAGACCCCCCCCCTTGATTTTGGATTTTTGAAAAAATTGCCGTTTAAAAATGCAATAAAAATCTTACCCCACCCAATACCCCCCCCAAGATTTTTTGAGAATTTTGTAAATTTTACCCCGGTCTACCCCCCCTAAAATCCAAAACCTTGCTTAACCCTGGCTAATAGATATTAACAAAAAATTGTTTGTCGTTTTTTTTAAAAAAAAATGTACATGCTTAATTTGTATGATTATTGTATTTATTTTTAATTAAATTTTACTAATTTTTTTTTAATTATTCTGTACTATATGTAAAAGTTTTTTATAAATTACTACTATTGAATTATAACTTATAACACTTATAAAAAATATTTTTTTGATTTTAATATTATTATTTTTTTAAAAAAATATTAATAGAAAGAGAGAGAGAGAGAGAGAGAGAGAGAGAGAGAGAGAGAGAGAGAGATAGTAAGCTATAAACTGTCAATTATTTTTTTAAAAAATAATAATTTTTAACTTTTTTAAATTAAAACATGTAAACTAACTAGTTAATTTATAATAAAATAATTATTAAATTTATATACAGTACTATTAGAATATTATTTACTAATAGTAATTTTAATTTTAATAAATTAATTTTTTTTTTTTAAATTTACATAATAACTAAACTAAAAATTATATATATACTGTATATTTATTAAAGTTTATTATTTTGATTATTTAAAAAAAAATTTATAATATTTTTTTATAACTTTTATTATTATTATTATTACTAAATTCAATATTAATAATAGTATTTCAGTATTTATTTTTTAAAAAAATAAAATAATATATAAAAATATGTTTCCATAGCAACAATCCGATTGTCATAACAACTAACTAAATACATTTTATGTGTAATAGAGGGGGGGAACCGAAGAGTTTTTTAGGAACCGCAACCGAACCGTATCTCAAAGTCAAGAACCAAACCGAACCGAAACCGAAAAATCTGAAAATCCTAAACCGAACCGTTACTAAAAATCAGGAACCGAATGAAACCGGAACCGAACCGTAATCTTACATAAATAACGTTAATAATATTAAGGGGGTAAAAAGTGGGCTTAAAATTTAAAAAATTGATTTTTATATTTTTATTTTTTGTTATAAAATACAGTTATAATTAAATTAGTATAAGTTATAGTTATTATATAAAGTTTATATTATAATATATAAAATTATAAATATAATTTTATAACTAAATTAATAATTAATTAAAATAGAAAAATTTTAGTTAATAAATAATTAAAAGTAATAATAATTAAAAGTTATAAATAATTATTTTTTAAATGCAATTATAATATTAATATAAAGTAATAATAGTTAAATAAAATTATTTAATAATATTAACAACAGTATTTCTAAAGATAATTTTATTATATGCTATTAATTTAAACTCAAATCGGTTTTTAATTAAAACCGTTTTTAAAACCGAAACCGTTTCTAAAACCGGACATGAAAAACAGGAACCGAACCGAACCGGAACCGAAACACAAAAACCAAAACCGTGATAAAACCGTTTCGGTTCCGGTTTCATTCGGTTTTATGAAACCGAACCGTTTCGGTTCCTCCCTCTAATGTGTAACTCTATTCAAAAAAAAAATGTACTAAAAGTGTAAACAAACTAAAAATGTTTTTATTGTTTGTATTTATATTTTAATCAATCATTTTTAGTGTTTGTTTTGTTTATATATATTCAACAAATTAATTGATTTTTTTTATTTAATGTTTTCTTTTGTTTTGTTTTTGTTTGTTGTGTTTATTCAACTCATTGAATGAATTGTTTGAATAGTCATCGGCGGTAAACAACAACAACAATGATATTGTGGTCAAACTTATTGTTGATATTGTTTAATCTGGCGGCCAATTATAATGGCCAACAACAACAACACGGCGATAATGGCCAGACAATCGGTAAGTTTTGTCTTTCTCTCTCTCTCTCTCTGTCTCTCTCTCTCTCTCTATCTGTCTGTCTCTCTCTCTGTCTCTCTGTCTCTCTCTCTCTCTGTCTCCCTCTCTTTCTCTCTCTCTCTTTCTCTCTCTCTCTTCTCTCTCTCTCTCTCTGTCTCTCTCTATCTCTCTCTCTCTCTCTCTCTGTCTCTATCTCTCTGTCTCTCTCTCTGTCTCTCTCTCTGTCTCTCTCTCTGTCTCTCTCTCTCTCTCTCTCTCTCTCTCTCTCTCTCTCTCTCTCTCTCTCTCTCTCTCTCTCTCTCTCTCTCTCTCTCTCTCTCTCTCTCTCTCTCTCTCTCTCTCTCTCTCTCTCTGACCAAACATTGTATGATTTTTTCATCAATCAATTGATGTGATTATAATAACAGCGATAATCGGCTCGTCTCGAGTGGTCGACACTGAATCTTCATCAGCGATCGATAACTCTGACCTCAAGGATGACCTGCAAAAAGCGGAAACACCGCCGCCGACAATCGGTAATTTATATATTTGTTTGTTTTTTGACCACTTAAATAACTGATCCACTCTTTCATTGTTTTATTGCCTAATAAACAGCGATAATCGGCGGCGGAATTGGCGGCACATCTTCGGCATACTTTCTCCGAGAGCTGTTCACTGCCGCCGCCGCCACCACCGCCGACAGTCAACCGTCGTCGTTGTCGGACATTGCGGCGGTCATGGACTTGTATGAACGCAACGGCGAATTGGGCGGCCGTTTGCGGACACAGCTAATCAATGGCCGCTACTACGAAACGGGCGGAACTATGATACACGAACGTAACCGCTATGCCCGACAATTGGCGGCCAAATTTGGTACATATTTTTTTTTGGTCAAACTATCGGTGTATATGTTATCAAAATGATTATCTGTTATCCGTTAAGGTCTGTCCCGTAGAGATGTTGACAAACATTTCGACACAAAGTTATGTCTATTTAATGGCAAAAGTTTTGATTTCTGCGAAAGTTCGCTGAGTTTGTGGACATATTTGAAGATCTGGTATCGGTATGGCTTCGATGTCCATAAACTTGAATCTAAAGTATCGAAAATAATGGACTATTTTGACAAGTATTTTGATGATCTTAATGATTGTATTACTGGATTAACTGATTGATTGATTGTCTTAAACAAATACAGTATTTATAGTCTTCAAGAGGACCACAACATTCAGTTCGATACAGTGGATCAACTGTTGACAGCAATGAATCCGTTGATTAAAAATCTAACAAAAATCACGTACAAAGACTATCTGACCAATGCTCGGCTGTCGAAGACATTCATCGACGAATTGGTCCAATCGATAGCATTGGTTAACTACGGACAGGATGTCTCGATTCCGGCGTTTGTCGGTTGGTTTGTTTGTTAGCACTTCCAGTCAGTTATTACATAATATTATGTATTGTTTTTCTCTGGAACAGGTAGTGTCTCGTTTGCCGGCGCCGGTGCTAACCTATGGAGTATTAAAGGCGGCAACAAATTGTTGGCCAAAAATCTGGCCAAACATTCCGCAGCTAATATCCATTTGAATACACGAGTCGATTCGGTTACCCAATTGGCACCGAACATGTTTGATGTGACCGTTACCGACACTGTGACCGGCCAGTCAACGACCCGACGTTACAATAGCGTTATAATCGCTACACCGTTGACCGAAAATCAAATCCGATTCAACAATTTTACCGACGATAACATTAACTTGAAAAACCATATCAACGGAAAACAGCGTCGCTATCATCGGACTGTTGCCACACTAGTGGCCGGAAAATTGTTGAAAAAATTTAACGGCAAAGACATCCTATGCGACAACAAAAGTACATTTTTTACGTCAATCGGTCGGTTGTCTCCCGTCGACGACGACGACAACGACCAGTCCATTAGTGCCGCCGCCGCCGAGGAGGAGAAGACACCGGTCTATAAAGTATTTAGTCCGACGCCGTTAACTACCGAACAGTTATCGATGATATTCTCGGATATCCAATCGGTTCACATAACCGATTGGTACGCCTATCCTGAATACGATACCGTTACCGAACCGTTGCCATCATTTCTATTGTCCTCGTCATCATCGGCTGGCGGTGGCAGTGGTGGCGGTGGTGTCTACCACTTGAATGCCATTGAATGGGCTGCCAGTGCTATCGAAATGAGTCTGATTGGCGGCAAAAATGTTGCCCTATTGGCCTACAATCAGTTTGGGGGTAAAACCAATGTTTTCAATATCGATAATAAAACTCTAAATAATAATAATAATCGACGACTAGTTGTTGATGAGTTATGATTAGATTTTTTGTTTGTTTTGTTTTTTAAATTAAATTAAAAATATATTATTTTCCCTAAAAATATTTTGTTTGTTTTCAATGTTAATTTGTGAATTAGTTAGTCATGAAATTAATTAATAAAATATTTATTTATTTTTGTTTTTTTGATATACTGTAATATAATTATATACTGTTATTACTATTATTTAAATATATATATATTTATAATTTTATAAATATAATTATAATATATATACATTAAGATATAAATTTTATATTTATTATTAAACATTTTTTTAAGTATATTAATAATTTATGAATTTTTAAAAAAAAATATTGTATATTATATTGTAAGTATATAGATGTATAAAAATATTTATTTAAAATTTTTAAATATATATATATATATATTTATTATATATAGTTTTTACCTAATTTTGTATCCAATTTTATTTATTTTTAGTTATATATATATTTACCATTTATATTAATATCAATAATTTTATAATAAATTTATTAATGAAAATCTGTTAAATAACATCATTAACTCACATATGGTTTTATATATTTTTTTGTTGTTAATAATTTAATGACTATTATTATTATTATTATTATTGTAAACAATATTAACAATAAATTAATTAGTTTTTAGTTAAAATTTATTTATAAATATATTTTTAAAAAGTAAATCTGAAACATCTAAAACAACGTGTTTATAATTTAGTAATAATAATAATATATTAAATATTATATATGATATAAATTATAGTTAGTTTTAAATGTTTATAATGTTTGCATCAATTGTAGAATTTTTTATATATTATTTGTTATCATTTATCAATAGTTTAACTATAATACCATTAATAATAATAATAATAATATATATTTATTACAAACATAAAAACCGTTATCGGGACTCATGTTTGGCCAAAATTCCCGGACCCCGACCCCGATACCCGTTAATCGGTAACTTAGACCTGTTTCGTATACCTGGTGTTCCTCGTAGTGAAAGTAAGTTTTTTTTTGTTTAAAATAATTTAATTATTTTAAGATAATAACTTATTAATAATTATTAGTTAACAATAACAAAATTATAATATATTTAATGAAAATTGTAAAAATTATATAACTTTCTATATATATTACAGTAACTTATAAAGTATTAGTTGGATTATGCAATCAATACAACAAATATGGTATTTATAAACTAGTTTTGGGAAACAAACCAATGGTTGTCATATTTAAAGCTAACTTAATGAATGTATGTATTAGTTATTATTAATATACTGTATATGAACCAATCCCATCCCATCCCATCCCATCCCATCCCATCCCATCCCATCCCATCCCATCCCATCCCATCCCATCCCATCCCATCCCATCCCATCCCATCCCATCCCATCCCATCCCATCCCATCCCATCCCATCCCATCCCATCCCATCCCATCCCATCCCATCCCATCCCATCCCATCCCATCCCATCCCATCCCATCCCATCCCATCCCATCCCATCCCATCCCCCATCCCATCCCATCCCATCCCATCCCATCCCATCCCATCCCATCCCATCCCATCCCATCCCATCCCATCCCATCCCATCCCATCCCATCCCATCCCATCCCGTCCCGTCCCGTCCCGTCCACTCCACCCCCATTGAGTTTTAAAAAATCTTAAATAAATTGTAATGCAATTAAAAAGTGTATCCCCACCCCTTTATTTTTTTACCAAGATTACCCCCACTTAGATTTTCTAATACACACACACACACCAAGATTTTTTTATTTTACCCCACCCTATACCCCCCCCCAAACTTTGATTAACCCTTATATACATGTATATATAAATTATATAACTCTAAAATTTTTAATATTAATTTTTATAATTATTAGAAAATATTATCAAGCGACATCAATATTGAAAAATCATATATATATAAATTTATAAACGATTGGTTTGGCGATAGTATTGCCGTAACTACCGGTACTAAATGGAAGTCTAGACGTAAACTATTGAACCGAGCATTTCATAATGAAATTCTCGATAGTTTTATACCCGTAATCAATGAACAGACACTAATATTTATAGATAAAATCACGAATCTATCAATGGATAGAAAATATATAGATATCCGGGAATCGATAACACAGTTAACATTAGATATTCTTTGCGGTAATTATAATAATTATAATAATTATAATAATTATAATAATTATAATAATTATAATAATTATAATAATTATAATAATTATAATAATTATAATAATTATAATAATTATAATAATTATAATAATTATAATAATTATAATAATTATAATAATTATAATAATTATAATAATTATAATAATTATAATAATTATAATAATTATAATAATTATAATAATTATAATAATTATAATAATTATAATAATTATAATAATCAATACTATTGGAGAGAGTCTTAAAAAGCGGCGGCTGCGGCGATGCTATTAATTACAATTATCTGGTGTCAACAATACGTTGAATTAAAAAACAAGTGATCAAGGTAGAAATGTTGTAGATAATTTTTATACTGCATAAAATTGTAATTGGTCATTTTTTAAAATAATTAATTGTATTATATTCCCAGATAACTTACATACAAATGTTTGTTTTTTTTAAATTAAATTTATAAATCATAGTCGACTGCAATTATCTGGAAAATCATAAAATTAATTAATTTTTTAAAAATAACCAATTAAAATTTTATTCAGTATAAAAATTATTTACAACATTTCTACCTTGGTCACTTGGTTTTTAATTTAACGTATTGTTGACACCATAACGCTGTTTAAGACTCTCTGATAATTATTGTTTTTTTTATATAAAAAATAATACTTAATTTATTTTTGATTTTTTTGTGAATAATATTCCCATTAGAAACTGCAATGGGTGTCAAAGTGGGCGCCCAGTTAGGCAAAAATAAACCATATGTCCAGTCGATCCACGATTTGGGTAAAATCGTATTCAAACGTATAATTTCGCCGTGGATTTGGTCGGACCGCGTATTTTATTGGTCATCGATTGGCCAGAAATTTCAGAAATCACTGGATATTTACCATACGTTTACACGTAATGTTATCAATCAAAAGAAACAATTGTTTATCACTACTACTACTACTACTACTACTACTACTACTACTACTACTAATAATAATAATAATAATAATAATAATAATAATAATAATAATAATACTAATAATGATAATAAAGTGTCTAAAAGTATTGAAACAATTGATGATAACGACAACAACGACAACTATTTTCTAACTAAGAATATAAAGAAAAAGATGGCATTTTTGGATCTATTACTTGATTATCACTACAACAACAACGACAACATCGACGACAACAATAGGTTGTCTTTGGATGACATACAAGCAGAAGTGGACACATTTATGATGGCCGGACACGACACTACAGCAGTCACTATCGGTTGGACACTATATTTGTTGGGTTTGAATCCCAGAGTACAGTACAAGATTGATGAGGAATTGATCAGAATTTTTGGTGATTATAATAACAGCGATATTACCGGCAAAGACATACAACAGATGACTTATTTGGATTGTGTGGTCAAAGAATCGTTGCGTATGTTTACTCCGGCAGCGTTTGTTGCCCGATGTCTGGTCGAGGACTGTCCTACAGGTGATTATGTTATACCTGCCGGTGTCGATGTCATACTAATGTTAGGTCAAATGCATTCAGACACCGATATATTTGCCGATCCCGAGCAGTTTAGACCCGAACGATTCATCGACCAATCGGATTCATTGACCGCAACTAAAATAAATGCCAACAATTATCAGCCGTTTAGTTCGGGTCCACGCAATTGTATCGGTAAACGGTTTGCTAGAAATAAACTGCTAATAGTTTTGACAAAAATTTGTCAAAAATTTTTTATGAAATCAATGAAACCGTTAGATAGTGTCGAAAAAATCTTTGAAATTACTTATCGGTCAAAAAGTCCGCTAAATATTAGTTTTATTCGCAAAAATTAAAAAAAAAAATTATATATATATTTATGTATCAAAAATTATTGATCATTGAATCAACAACAACAAAAATATGGTCACCTATTTTGGATATGAATTTTTTTCACTATAAATTTTTAATTAATTTAATTAATACAATCGACACAAAACTATGATATAGTTTTTGACAGTCATCAGGGTTTGGATGCCGACCCAAACAACTCAATAGTAATTAGTCCTAAAAATTATACGATTGTATTGAAGAGTAAAATTTAAAATATAATAAACGTTATTATGTAATATTTTTTTATTTAATATCATATTTCAAATTAAAATTATAAAATTATATTATTATTCAATTTAAATTAAACTAAAACTGTTTAAAAAATTAATTTTTCTTAAAAACGATTAATAATATTTTTAATCTATTAGTTCAATAAAATAAAAGCTGATCATTTATTATTAATTATTAATATTAATAAATATATAATAAAATAAAAATAATATTTTATATTTAATGTATAAAATATTATAGTATTATATAAATAATAAATATTTATTTTCTAGAAAATATTATAATAGTTTAAAATAATAAATTATTTTTCAAATTTAATTAAATTTCTTGAATAAGTAATTATTGTATATTTATTATATACAAAGTTTAAATATATAGTTTGTAAGAAATTTTTCTAAAATAATATTCAATTAAAAAATGATAAAATATTTTTTAATTTTTGATGTAATAAATTAATCTTATAAAATCTATTAAATATTATTTATATAAATGATATATACTATATATATGTTACAAAAATAGCATTATAATCTAGAAATATTACAATACAGTATCTAAAATAAAGTTAATTATTATAAAATCAAATAATTATTAAATAGAAATTTTCAACAACAAAAAATTAAACAAAAATCTTTTAAATTTTAAAATTTTATATTTAAGCAAAAAAAACTTAATTTGTTCATTAAAAATAAATTTTATTAATAATAATAATTAAAAATAAAAATCTCTTAAATATTATAAATCATGTAATAATCTAATAATTTTTTTTAACAATTAGTTAATTAATAAATTAATTAACCAATGTACATTTAACTACAATATTAAAATCTATTCATAAATGTGACAAATTTTAGCATAATATCTGACTTCGTATGAAATATTGTCGACAATTTGTTTGACCAGTAAATCATTGCCGTAATCATTGGCCGCCAACTGTTGATACTTATTGAACATATTGTCCGCAAATTTTCTAACTTCCGATTTCATATCCAACTCATCGAATATCCGACAAATTTGTTGAACCCGATCGGCATTTTCGTGTCCATAGTTGTCCACCAGTTGGGCCAGTTGTCTATTGTCGGCCAATTGCATTGACCGACAAATGAGCCAGGTACATTTACCCTCCTGGATATCTATGCCCTGTTCATAGTAATCTTGATAGTCGTTCAAAGCACCCGATAATATACCCATATCTATCAAAAAGTTTTCAATAGTTTCAACAAATTTATTATCATATTGTTGTTTGTCGGCCAAAATAATTGCTTTAAAACAAAATAAATTAATAATATTTTTATGTATTATAAACAAAAATTATTTATTATTAATAATTAATTTTTTTTGTTGGTTGGTTGCTATGGGTTAAAAATAAACAACAAAACATTTATTACCTAGTTTAAATTGATAGACATAGACTGAAAATGCGTTTTTGTACTTGTTTAGTTTATCAAATATAGCCATGTTGAAATCAGTTAATTTTAGATTTTTGTTTTGTTTTGTCGATAGACTGTACATCATATCCAATGACTGACCCATTGATATTTTTTCAATAAACTATATATATATATATATATATATATATATAAATAAAGTATTTAATTTAATTATATTAATTTTAATTATAATTATTACAAGTTTTATAAATATATATATATATTAATATTTTATATAGTTTTAGTACTATATATAAATTTAATTATAATTAAATTTATTTATTTATAGCTACTACTACTACTACTACTACTACTACTACTACTACTACTACTACTACTACTACTACTACTACTACTACTACTACTACTACTACTACTACTACTACTACTACTATTATTATTATTATTATTATTATTATTATTATTATTATTATTATTATTATACTAACCTCTTGAATGCATTGAACAATTTGAATATAATTAGGATGACCATGGTAATATTGGTTAACAATTTTATCGGACATCGTCAACATAACTGTGCTATCGTTTAGTGCCGACATTCCTACTGATGGCTAATAATAATAATAATAATAACAATAAACTTTAAATAGAAATGTTTTTATTGGAGAAAAAAATAAAATATTTTACTTACATTAACAAAAAAAAAACAATATATTATGATACTAAATAAAACTAAATAAAACTAAATAAACACTAAATAAACACTAAATAAAACTAAATAAACACTAAATAAACACTAAATAAACACTAAATAAACACTAAATAAAACTAAATAAAACTAAATAAAACTAAATAAAACTAAATAAAACTAAATAAACACTAAATAAAACTAAATAAAACTAATTGAAACTAATTAATTAATTATAAATCAACTATACCAATGTATACCAACTGGGTATACCATATCTAAGTGTTGCTTTATCCATAATATCATCCAATAAAATCAAACTCATTGTTATTAATTCAACGGCCACTGCCAATGCATATACCGATTCATTGCTGACTACTATTGACTGTTGAGTATTACCATCATTGCCGGCACCGGACTCTAGTTGTTGTTGTTGTTGTTGACCGCTATGTTGTTTATCGGTTAGTATACGATAGCTTAGTATAAATCGTATACCGTATTTGAGTCTCGGATGTTGAACATAGAAATAGTCAAACAATTGATCCAATCGTGGCCTCAATTCACTGATATCATTGTCGTTGCCAACCATTGAATCAAGTATTTCACTGATAATCGATTGAAAATGTTTGCGATATTCAGGCAATTCATCGGCAATTCTGGACACATATAGTGGTCGATCAAATTCAGACCTATTTTTTTCAACAAAAAAAAATATATTTAAAAAAAATTATATTAAATA